AAGGGAATTTAAGTATCTAATGATGGTGTTTTATGAAATTCTATCTCAGTAGAATTCGATTTCAGTTTATCATTTTTATTGACTTGAACATATGGACTTCAGTCAAAATGCCCATAATAATAATAATAATAATAAAAATAATAATAAATAATCATATAATAGATTATAATATAATAATTAGTCGACTATACCTAACCTACTAATTATTGCTATTTATTTTTTAACTTACCTATGTGACCAAATCCACAAACGGTTTTGACATTCCTATTGTCSTTAAGTTTTTCCCGAGTTAACTCAACAATTTCATAAAACCGGTTTATAGGTATTGATATATCGAAGCTGTAAACGTAGCCCAACTTTAATAATGCTTCAATTACTGTTTCCCGAACTTTCCATATTTTCTGAAAAATGAAAATAGTTTTTGGTTTTTATATCATTTAAATTTATTCATAACTAAACTACAACTACAAGCAATAGAACTTATATATTTATGATAAGGTAAACAAAACTGTATACAATTCATGTAGATGATGGCCCATAAGTTGTATTTAATTATGAATTACGAATTTCTAACCTATACAGGTTATAAGTAGGTACTTAATATTTTTTATATAGGATCTTATTAAAATACGGTTTAATGTAAAAATAATAATAATAGTTACGTGTATGCTGGACATCTGATCGGTCGTTGTGGCATCGGAGATCACCGAGTTACCGAGAGCTTTTTCCAAAACATTTTCCATGTGTTGGCCGACAGTCTGTTGACTGGAAGCGAGTTCGATGAGTACATAGAACGGATGGACATTAGTGATTGGACACGGGAGATGAAGTTTGCTTTCCACGTACGTCACAGCCATGTTGTCCAGGAGTTCGAACGACGATAAGGTTTCTCCAAATTCGATACGAGCAATGGAAAACARCTTGAGCACTTTATCGTAACTGTCCAATCCTGCTTACAAAAAAATGACTCCAAATTTAAGATAAATTTWAAAAAAATTGAAAAAAATTAATTTATGGTGAATGTGTTCCCGGCTAGAATTTATAAGCAATATGCTCAGCAGCTTTGAACTGATTTGAAATTTGGATGTGGATATATTAGTTTTTAAATTTGAGTATTTTTGAGCAGCAACCGATGTATGTATATATTACTTCTATGTGATATAATATAATATATTATATAGGTACAATCGTTTATAGCTGACGACGTATAAATACAGAAAACCATCAAGAACAGGAAATAGCTAGCTGACTTCCGTTATGGACTTATATATTTACCCAAAAATTATTTCAAAGCTTTTATTATTTTGTATTTTCTCGTGTAAGGGTTAAAGTCATAGTATTTGTTACCACTTATCGCACTCACCTCCATAAATTGTCTTACACATACGATTTTAAGCTATAAAACTATTTAACTTATTGTGTTTGTATGTGTAGACTATATCTATCTACTATTTACTATTTAGCATGCYCAGTATAACTGTGTGACTTAGTATGACTTCCGGTCTTGTGGATGTTAAGTTCCTATGGAAAGTACCTATGATGAAGACACTCAAATTTTGTCCACAAGATTTGTATGTTGATGCAGAAATTCCAACTTAYTACCAAATAAAATTATTATAATCCAAGGGTAGTAGGTACCTATTTATTAATTTTAATATTAATTTATCCAGCCAAAAGAATTCTGTGATTTTGAATTTTTGATACCGACATAAAATAATTAAACTATTCCATTCGTTCAGTAAATATTAATAAATATAAGTATACCTACCATTAAATATTGATTTAATCATTCATACYTTTTAACTTTTTAAATGGAAACAAATGTTTAAAGTGACAAAAAACGTATATGCAATARCAATTCATATTAACTATAAAGACTGTAATGATTAATGATTATAATAACTACAATTAATTAATTWAATTAATTATTTTAATTTAATGTATTTTTAAAACYCTTTATTTTAAAAATAGATGTTTACTAAACAYACAAAGACGATTTAATTTTGTAAATTTTCATAAATCTTTAATACTTTTCGTAAAATTAATAAATATTAAATTTAATGTGAGAATTGTATCACATTATTTTAATTTTCCAGCCATAATTTAAATAATAAGTAAACATTATTCACACTGATCTTACTATCATGGTATCATCAACCCGACCATTATCGTGACATTGGAGTCTGCCACACGCATAATCTTTGTGACCATATTTTGAACAAAGTAAACAAATGCTACCATTAATTGTTTTTCTTAAGTAAGCATTAAGCGAAATATATATCGTTTAATCTTAGGAAAATGGACAAGAATTGAAAATATTCTTTGGGCTATGGCTATTAGCTACTAGGAATTTATTTAAAAAAATCATTTAATAAAAACTTAATATTATTATTGTAAATTKAAATGTTGCTTAAACTAGTCAACATTTATAGCGATATTTTAARGAATAATTATTTGCAGTGTGGGTAACCAGCCATGTAATACCTATATTATCTACCGTAAATAAGTATATTTTAGATTCTGAGCAGAACGATGATTGTATTAATTTAACAATGAAGTGTGTTTTTCTCTGCTTGTCATCACCCTTTTGGGTAGTAAAAATTCTTCGATTTTCGACTATGGTGGTGGTTTCTAGTAGAAAGTAGTATCTAGTTGTCATTTTTGTAGGACCAAGGTAACCAAAAGCTAGAATGTCTCAGCTCAGAATCTGTTCTTTTTTCATCCTATATAATGATTTATTTTCGAATTCGAATTTAACTTATACTTTTCGGTGCTAACTCAATGACGATAGGTAAACTTAAAACACTAAATTCCTACAATTGTACAACTGCAGAGTACTAACTTACA